ACCCTTATATGAGAGTGCCGAGGTGGCGGAGTGGTTGAGGCCTCTGACAGTCTTCACTAGCCTTACACCTCTGGGTCGCAGGGGGGCGGTAGTTTTTCTTCGTGATGTCCGACCTTCCTCGAAATAATCCAAACCTGTTCATAGAATGTAAAACAACACAGCAAACTTATCTAACTTTCAAATGACCTTGATGCCAATCATCTTACTTCATATTTTCTGATATACATTTATTTACAACATATTTAATACACGTGTAGCAAGATTTTATGGACTGTTGCTTAATGCAATGTACGAGGCTCCACTCAGCCTCCCCTCCTCCACACAGACACCACAGACAGATAGTTCCCTGTATTATATAATTATATGCTTGTCAAGGTAGTTTGTACCACGTGTTGACCTTGCTATCAATAACTTTCGGTTCTGACATCAAAGGAATATTGCGATTTGCTCTCTGAATTATTCTATACAAAATTTCAGATCCTTTTTCTCGTTTCTTTTAAATCATTTAAGGTTTTCATTATAATTTTTAAGCTAAAAAATTTATGTGTTCTCGTTTGTAAATAAATGTAGGCAGCACAAAGGTGATCTCTATTCATCAAAATGCTCAGCCTTTACAAGTTTAGGGCCCCTCCCCAATAACTCTAATCAATGCCGTTAAATATCTCTGGCAATTGAATTCAAGATATGTAATATGTTATATAATTACTTACACCGATCGTAGCAATGCAAGGACACTACGCAAGATAACAGATCTGTTTACAACATTGTATGAAATCACGGTAAACTATTGTGATTTTCCTTCACGTTTCACACCAGATGTCGCCACAGTCCTATGGATTAATGATTGTAGTTACGTTTTGTAATCAGATTAAAAACCATTTTTAATGTTATGTCAAAAAACAACAAAATCACTCTATCTGGAGATGGTCAACAGCTGATATGCCCCCAGGCTCTGCGTGGGATCACCAGATGTTGATGGAGATATAAACAATGTTGTGATACGTACTAAATTAGATCACCAGAAAACCTGATATGTACACTGTCGTGATATCTACTAAAATAGATCACCAGAAAACCTGATATGTACAATGTCGTGATATCTACTAAAATAGATCACCAGAAAACCTGATATGTACAATGTCGTGATATCTACTAAAATAGATCACCACAAAACCTGATATGTACAATGTCTACTAAAAATAGATCACCAGAAAACCTGATGATATCTACTAAAAATGTACAATGTCAGAAAACCTGATATGTATGTCGTGATATCTAAAATAGATCACCCAAAACCTGATATGTAACCTGATAAAATGTCACCAGAAAACCTGATATGTACAATCTCTTGATATCTACTAAAAATAGATCACCAGAAAACCTGATATGTACAATGTCGTGATATCTACTAAAAATAGATCACCAGAAAACCTGATATGTACAATCTCTTGATATCTACTAAACTAGATCACCAGAAAACCTGAAAATGTCTGATATGTACTAAAATGTCACCAGAAAACCTGATATGATATCTGATATGATATCTACGTGATATCTACTAAAATAGATCACCAGAAAACCTGATATGTACACTGTCGTGATATCTACTAAAATAGATCACCAGAAAACCTGATATGTACACTGTCGTGATATCTACTAAAAATAGATCACCAGAAAACCTGATATGTACAATGTCGTGATATCTACTAAAATAGATCACCAGAAAACCTGATATGTACAATGTCGTGATATCTACTAAAATAGATCACCAGAAAACCTGATATGTACAATGTCGTGATATCTACTAAAATAGATCACCAGAAAACCTGATATGTACACTGTCGTGATATCTACTAAAATAGATCACCAGAAAACCTGATATGTACAATCTCGTGATATCTACTAAATTAGATCACCAGAAAACCTGATATGTACAATGTCTACTAAAATAGATCACCAGAAAACCTGATATGTACAATAGTCGTGATATATCTCACCAGAAAACTACAATGTCGTGATATCTACTAAATAGATCACCAGAAAACCTGATATGTACACTGTCGTGATATCTACTAAAATAGATCACCAGAAAACCTGATATGTACAATGTCGTGATATCTACTAAAATAGATCACCAGAAAACCTGATATGTACACTGTCGTGATATCTACTAAAAATAGATCACCAGAAAACCTGATATGTACACTGTCGTGATATCTACTAAAAATAGATCACCAGAAAACCTGATATGTACAATGTCGTGATATCTACTAAAAATAGATCACCAGAAAACCTGATATGTACAATGTCGTGATATCTACTAAAAATAGATCACCAGAAAACCTGATAGGAACAATATACAGAGATGTCGGCGAACATTTAAGGAGAATAAGACCAAGATATCATGTAGGGAAGGCGTGTTGTGACTCATCTTCGGCATTCCTCATGGTTGGGGAGATTCCCGTCTTTTGTTGATCAAAGCACCTTTTCATGTGGGTAAATTACAAAATAGCCAGCCACTGATAAATGAAATACTGAAACACGTGTGTATAGGTGTGTATAGGTGTCCTTCGACATCAAAGTCGCCATTTTATTATTCGTTACAACATCATCTTATCGAAAAGAAAATCGTGAAAAATTTTGACCCATGAAAATTATCAGCAATATAGTATTTATTGAGGAAAGTTATCTGTTTATTCTGTTGTACATCATATGTATATATATCTTTAAGTTCAGGGAAATCTGTGCCATTCTCAATAATGTAAAAGAGAAAATCTGGTCGAGGATAAGTCATCCGAAATGTTAATCAGAGTCGTGCAGATTGGGGACAATATCGCAAAAGGATATTAGATATTCCCAATTAGATCATAATGGATGCTATGACAGTCTCCTATAGCCTTCATTAACCTGTACCTCACGTGCTGTAAATGTTCCGCTAGCTTTATTAAACATTGATCCACTGTGACTGTCGTGTCCTTGAATTCAAATTCCACCGGTGTACATGTCCGATTGAGATAAAAGATTGTACAAGAGACACACCTTATAAATCAAATATAGAGTTAGATACAACAGAGACAAACAATTAATTAAAAAAATATTATACATGTGTTTCGTCTGTCTCGTCAATGATGTCTAGTACCTAGATTTTGAAGTCTAGGAGGTGACCTGGAAATCCAAAGCGATCTAAAGAAAGTCAACGTCTAGATGATGAGGTGCACTACCCTATAATTTGATAATTTCCATAATTATCAGATATCTGGCAAAACACCAATTTCTAAAACTAACGCATCTGTAACTTAACCTGATAAGATGTATGATTAGTTCAGCTGTAGTGTAAAGAAGAGAGCTAGTTTTGGTGTCATGGACAAGAAAAAAGTTGCCAAATCAGCGAGCAACAAATTTCATTTTTAGTCTTATGTAACGTTCAAGGTGAGATTAAAGAATGGCTGGAGCCATCAGTTTTATGTTTTACAGAAAAGATAAATGCATTTTCGTGTTTTATTTTATATCTATCCATCATAATGATATATTTTCGGAAGTTATAACCGAAAAACACCTGGCAACCTGTACCCAATACTTGTATATAATTCGGCAACGTAATTGTGTTATGTAAGTTTTGCTGGCAATATTACTTCAAACCATATAATATTATTGTCGTCTCTCTCACTTAGAGATTATTTATCACGTGTACAGTATCTCGTGTTGACAATCATATTTTATCGTCTCTGTCACTTAGAGATTATTTTATCACGTGCACGGTCTCTAGTGGTGACAATCATATTGTTATCGTCTCTGTCACTTAGAGATTATTTTATCACGTGCACGGTCTCTAGTGTTGACAATCATATTGTTATCGTCTCTGTCACTTAGAGATATTTTATCACGTGCACGGTCTCTAGTGTTGACAATCATATTATTTTATTGTGTCACACTCGGATATTATTTAAGACTTGGGCTTGTGTATATTATCTCCGTCACTAACCTCATGTCCTGTCACTGTGTCGTTACACGCACTGGCGTTGTCATACAAGATAAATCTAAAGCCGTTTCCTATCATTACTCATACAGCACCGCCACTCTGCAAAACTCCTCGTGCATTAATCTCTCCTCGCAGCAATGACACATTTCGAGTCGTATTTACATACTCCGGGTCATCGATTCCATGTTTCCTCAGCATCAGTGACACTTAAGTCAGCGGGCTGTATCAGTAGGGATACTATTCATGATCCTGTGATGATTTACATTGTAACATGTCAGATATCGTCTCGTACAGCCACCTTGTCTCTCCTGTATACGCTCTAGAATTTCTTCGTTCGAAGACTTGACACATGATTGTTTTCATCACCCGGTGGCGGACATTTTTTTTCGAAAGGCTTTATCATATTCACGTATACGAAAAATCCAATGGTGTATGTACAGAAACTTGGCGACAAGCGTCTGGACGACTGTCATAAATCTGCTTATATTCAACACCAAAATTGCGTCCTTATTTATGTATGGTGATAAAAACAGTATCAGTGCAACAGTGTTCTACTGCCGAGTTATGGTTACTTCAACTGACATGCGCAAACCGCAATGAAATCTGTAAACGTACATTTGCTTGCCGCATTACAAATATCAGCGATATATAGAATGACTACTTCCTGTCGTAATCCTATCAACAGCAATTGTAAAATCTTCACCATGGCTGAGAAAATCTATGTACAATTCAACATATTGCAGTAGATTAGTGACTCATGTTTGGAGACGGTAAGATTGCGGATGGCTAAAGATTGTACTGTACGTTTTACAAAGGAAACTATCGAATTACATTATTTCACTTAATTTCAATTTCTCATTCCGATTTCAAAGCGTTACTTAATTTGATTGGTTATTGTTTCAGATGCACTTCGTCCACCACGTGACCTGAGGGGTTCAGTAAGGGACAATATCAAACAGATGAGGAGTATGGTTTGATTCGGTATTTCGAAATAACGTATGAGACCGTCAAACCCCATCAGGACTTTTTGCGAATCTCGCATCTCACATCGATGGGATCAAAAGACAATTTACCTTAAGGGGGCTCGTGCCACTGTCAACATATAAAACATTCATGGTGACGGTCGGCAGCGGAGAAGTAAACAATGCAAGTGACACTATCGAGTTCTCTACAGCCGTACCAGAAGGTAGGTTTACTTAATTATTTTCATTTTACGGTATCGCTATGATGACACCATACCAAAGTCCATATACCATATATTGCTATATCATGAAATACCAATGGACTAGGACTATTGGAAATAACACATTTAGGTCGTGAGGTTCCTTAATGTCGAAAGAAAAATGGAACAAAAATAGATAAATGTAGCATTTTGACTGCTTTTAGGTAGTATTCATATGCATATAAATGTCAGCTGCATGATGGGGAAATCGAAGATGAGGCTCTTGCACTCTTTATTTGGCTGTATTACATGTATGTTGACCCATGAATGCCAACTGACAGGAGTACAGTGTTTATTAAGCAATTATATACACTAACCATGATTTCTTCAATACATATTGAGAACAAATGGAAAACGGTTGATTGTATTAGAAAGGACGTAAAAATTGGAAAAAAAAATTCCATGATTTCAAATTAAACACTGATGCAGTAAACGATTTGTTACTCATTTGACGAAGATTGTCTGATTCGATGCGCTGACCTTTTTGTACTGCCAGAGACAAAAATATCTTATCATTTGATTAACCGCGACGATTACATGAATGACAACTGAGCAGTCGTATTATCTACATTTTATTGACAATACTGTCGGACATTAAAGCGATATCGCGTGTATTGTCTGTGTCTAACCACAATTGAAAGTCCCATCCAATAATGAAAGGATAGGAGGAGTCTATTGGGATTGGAAATGTAGACTGTCACTTTCGTCTGCTTTCGTTATAGACTATCGCTTACTTAGAATTTGTAACACACCAAGTATACAACAACGATAGTAACGATCCATGACCTTTATATCTTATCCACGATTCGTTTTCAATCTAATTTTAAAATCTGTCATTCAGTCTTAACTGGCCACCACAACAGTTGAAACATGTGTTTGACACAAATGTCCTTGAAATCTATTCTAAATGTGGACTTGTTGATTTCATAAAGGATTTGTAAAGACAAAGATCTGTTTGATGTGCTGCCATGGCAACCTGGGACCTGACGTTTTAAGCTTTGAAGTAATTCCGGTGTCTTGTCTTACCTTTTTTATTGTAACTGATGGTCTCTAAGAAGTTCGATTGTTTTGTATTGATTTTTTTATATCACACATTATTGTTTTGTATCCTTAAGACTTACTTTCAGCACACGACTTAGGGTCCTATACATCCTCTTCACTTTATATCGAAGATTGTACAATAGATATCAATGAATAGCACCATCTGATACAAAATGGATAAGATAGGGAAGATCCAAGTGGTTAGATAATCTGCATCATACAAATGTTTCACCCATCTAGGACTCGTCAGGACTCGTCAGGACTCGTCAGCCCAAATGTTCACCTGTAAAACATTAGACGTTAACTAAACTAAACTATTAAAAAAAGTCATGTCACTTTCCAAAATGAGGTTAAGGTCAACAAAGAACACTTTGGATACTACCAAAGTCAGATCATTGGATACTCACAAGGTGAGATTTATGGATACTCCCAAGGTCAGATCATTGGATACTCACAAGGTCAGATTTATGGATACTCACAAGGTCAAATAAATGGATACTCACAAGGTCAGATTTATGGATACTCACAAGGTCAAATAAATGGATACTTCCAAGGTCAGATCATTGGATACTCACAAGGTCAGATTTACGGATACTACCAAGGTCAGATTTACGGATACTCACAAGGTCAGATTAATAGATACTACCAAGGTCAGATTTATGGATACTTCCAAGGTCAGATTTATGGATACTCACAAGGTCAAATTAATGGATACTCACAAGGTCAGATTAATAGATACTCCCAAGGTCAGATTTATGGATACTGACAAGGTCAAATTAATGGATACTCACAAGGTCAGATTTATGGATACTCACAAGCTCAGATTAATAGATACTCCCAAGGTCAGATTTATGGATACTCACAAGTGAAATTAATGGATACTCACAAGGTCAGATTTATGGATACTCACAAGGTCAGATTTATGGATACTCACAAGGTCAGATCGATAGATACTCCCAAGGTCAGCTTTATGGATACTCACAAGGTCAGATTTATGGATACTCCCAAGGTCAGATTAATAGATACTCACGAGGTCAGGTTTATGGATACTCACAAGGTCATATTGTATCAAAAAAGGGAGTGATTAGAATAATTCGTTCAGAACTTACAACTCTGTACATTCAATTTCCACTCCGTCCTATTCTTTATTTATATCAACAGTTGCTATTCACTTGTCTTTTTTACATTCTTTTGAAACATCTGGTATTATTCTCTGTGATTCGGTCTTTTGTTCATATATTACATCATCTGTTGTGAGAGTTAAATAAAAATGTCGTTGATATGTTGATATATTCTATTGGTTATTGATACTGCCCCCCGGCTCTTATTGTTTTGTTTTCCTAATTAACATCAATTGGCTTCTTTCATTTAGTATTCTTTTAATGTTTGGTTTTGTTCAAAAGGTTACGGTTTTTGTTACAATTCAATTTTTCATTTTATGAATATTGTACCTTACTCAATTACTTGTCATGAAGAGCTGTTTGGATTGCACCGACACCTGTATACTGTTTTGTACTTATAAATATATACTGAAACTAATGCAAAGTCGACCGAAAATTGAAATCTAGGTCAGTAGTGTTCCCACAGGTATAGACTATCGTGTTGGAATCCAGCCGATTGCTGTAGGGTCAATGTCAGAGATTGTGTATTGGTGGAATCACGCCAAGTAACTACTGAAGAAATTCTTAGCTTGTCTACGTGTAGTGGTTTCCTTGTTTTACTTTCTCTCATTTGGGGACGTTTGATCAAATTTTTTATGATTTATAAAGCGGAAGACGCGTACCCTTTTGAAACTCCTGGACATAATCTCCTTGTACTTTTACAGGAATCTTCGTGTTATTTTTTCTTATGTTTATTTATTGCTCTGGTTTCTTCGAATTTGTGTTTGAAATAAAATTCTGTTAATATGTCATTATTTTAATCTGAAGATTGGATTGAAATCGATGTGAACAACACGCTTGTTAACATACCTTGTTATACCGGAACAGACGTTGTGGTAGCACCAATCCTGACAACATCGATGACGTCTGTATTTGTTTTCAAGGTTCAGTACTGGAATTCTTCCCGAAGTATTAAGTATGCATTCAGGGCAAATGGATATGCACAGCTTTGCTACAGAACTACAGAATCCAATAATCTACACCCAAGGGTATACCCAGGCAGCTACAAATGCCTTAAATCATATACACAAACTATTCACAAAGTTTTTAATGTACAGTGCCTTTTAAAAGATAAGAATAAAGGAGACGCGAAAGCTGAGTAAGAAAAAACCTCCATTTTAGATCGGTTTTGGCGTCGCCGTGTCATTAAAATCGCACTTTTGTCATTTCTGAAGGCGACGAACTAACGACTCTACGCTTGCTTTTCATTTACCATGAAACATTTTTCCTAAGGGAGAAATATCTAGCATTTAGGTAATTCTGTTAGGAAGTCAAACGAGTCGGTTTTCTGATTTAAATATCCGTCTCACTTACTCCAACACACACAGAGACAGTAATGGCACAAAGTGAGTGTAATGTTTAGTGACCAGCTCAAAGCGTGTTGGAGTAGGATTTGTCAAAATTGATATTATAAATGTCCTGACTGTTATGTTTAGATATAAGATGAGGACGGAGAAATACATTAGTGCACTGTCAGTATTCTTTATCATTCACTTCACTTTAATACACTTTACATAGTTACAGAGTACTGTTGGAAATGTGTTTGACAGTCCTGTTGTGCTTTCTGTAGTCCCTTTCCTGGATGACGCATTGTTGGACAAATCAGTATCAATTTACAAACATAGATATCCATGTCCTACTCCATGTATTGTATTTGAATTCACCAGTAAATGCCACCAATGATTAAAGACTTCCTAACCAATCTTAAGAGAGCTCGTGCCGTGCACCGCACGTGACTTCGGTTTGCCGCAGATTTTGCCTCCATTTTTCAAGTAAGGTCATGCACTTTGTTAAGTTTTCACTAAATCAGTCGCACCTTTGGTTTGTTGTGAAAGCGCCTGATATCTCATCCCCACGTATATAACGGATATAAATAAAGATATTGGAATATTTAAATTAACTTTGATCATTTTTAGGTTTCTATAATTATTCTTTCCTCCGTGATATCCCCTCTGTCCATGTTTGTAATTAATCTTTAGACACTATTTGATATTCTATTTATCACATTTCACAAGCAAAATAGTCAAATTACTGAAATATTAAGGACAGATTTGAAACGAGGACACTGACTAGGCTTTTCACGGACACGACTAGCCCGTTGTAACGTCCCAGTGCGCAACACAATTAAGTCCGTTTTTTATCAAAAAGACATTTAACAATGTAAACATCAAATAAAATTTAATCTAAATTTACATCAATATTGCGTTTTTATACTACTAACAGAAAATTTGCTGTAAAACGTTCAGGGAGAGTTTAACCTGTGACAAAATACAACACAGCTGAAACTTTGGTTGCAACCTCGAGGCATCAAGAATCCATTTGAAATGTCTAATGTGTTAGCTGCACATTCAAGACGTTTGGTACGGGATTGAGTTTGATCTCTGATAAGGTAATTTGCGTTGCATTCTTTGCTGAAATTAATGGAAATTAAAGTTTTACCACGGAATTGAAGGCCCTGTCACTAGTGTTATTGGTGTGCAAAAGTGTTATTTTTGAATCGTGAAAAATAACACTTTCATTAATGAGATACTTCTCTACATTTCACTGGCAAAAAAAATCGACAAATCACTTCGATCTGATTTTTTCTGTTTTGGTTTTGGCAGAGAAATTTGATTCCTATTTGGCTTGCAATTAGTATAAAATGTTCCGAGTGTATTTTAGTCCCGGAGGGTTGCCAAAACAAGCTTACAACGCTTTTATTCTGCTGAATAGCGGGGATGTACTTCTACACATGCTGCTCATTTCGAATAGTCCAATTTTTTA